AAAAAAAAAAAAAAGAGTAAGCTTTTTAAAGTATGAGTGTGCTTCTTAAAAAAAAAGTCACCATATCTCCATTGAGTCAAAATAATTACTTTCTCAGGTTAAGCACTCTTTTTAAAGACTTCTTAAAGTTCTTATCAGTGAAAATACTGACTCAGTAAAAATTTGCTGAACTAAATTGAACTCTGATATTTTCACAGAAGGATGTTTTCCTCCATTCTTAAAGGCTCTTTTAAGAAAGACAAACTTTTCCTCTACTTCTTCTTAAATGTTTTCAGGTTTAGTTTTGTGGTGGTGTTATTTTTGCTGATTTGATAGGTGATATGAAGAAATATTTTTATAATTATGCTATGAAATGCTTCAAACTTATTTATTTAACATTTGTTGGTCAGGGTTTGAAATAAATATTGCCCATTTCTTTTTTCTTTTTTAAGTAGGCTCCAAGCCCAACGCAGGGCTTGAACTCATGACTACCAACTGAGCTGGCCAGGCACCCCTAAACATTGTCTATTCAGAAGCCAAGTTTGCTAAGTCTCTAGCAGAAGTCAGCTCCAGCTCAAAGGAAAACTTTTCACTTGAAGATCACTAAAGGGATAAGACTTGATTAGGAAGAGCTCAAATGAAGACACTGAACTGCTTCAGGAAAAACCACCAGAGAAGAGAAGGTTCTGCTTAAGGGAGAAGTTTCTTCAGACTATTCCAAAACAGTGAGGCTAAAAAAATATATAGACTTTAAGAAGCCATTAAGACTATTATCAAAAAATATGTATGTGTGACAGGGCACCTGGGTAGCTCAGTCGGCTAAGCGTCCGACTCTTGGTTTTGGCTCAGGTCATGATCTCAGGGTTGTGAGATCGAGTTCCACATGGGGCTCCGTGCTCAGTGAGGAGTCGGCTTGAGATTCTGTCTCTCCCTCTGCCCCTCCCCCTGCTCTTGTATGGGCTCTTTCTCTCTAAAATTAATTAATTAATTAATTAATTAAATCTTTAAAAAAAGTAGTAATTATTAACCTGAAATTAGCAATTGGACTATATTAAAAATAGCTAGTAAATAGGTCAGAAGAGATAGTATATCACTTCTGAGATTAGGTTATAAAAAAGACTAGAGCTTTCATCTTGAGTGCTTTCTCTTGTTCTCTCTCACTCATGGTTCCCCTGCTTTGGGGGAAGCCAGATAACATCATGAGGACACTGAGGCAGTCTGTAGAGATGTCCACATGGTGAGGAACTGAGGCCTGCCAAGAGCCACGTGAGTGAACATGGAAAAGAATACTGCCTCAGTCAAGCTTTGAGATGACTGCAACCCCATGAGAAAAGCTGAGCCGGAATCACCTGGTTAAGCTGCACCCATATTCCTGACCCACAAAAACTGGGAAATAAATCTTTATTCTTTTAAGTTTCTAAGTTTGGGGTAATGTTGTGCAGCAACAGTTAATAAGATTCTGGTGTCTGGAAATGCTGTGCTTCCACAAGAAATATCTAAAAGGTAGGAAGGGTTTTGGAAACAGGCAGTGGATAGAAACTGGAAGGACTTTAAGGAGAGTATTTGTGAAAGTCTAAATTAACTCAAATGAGGGGTGCCTGGCTAGCTCAGTTGGTGGAGTATGCAACTCTTAATCTCCAGGTCGTGAGTTCAAGCCCCATACTGGGTGTAGAGACACAAAAAATAATAATTAAAAAAATGGGTTAGACAACCAACTCTTGGTTTCCTCTTGAGTTATGATTTCATAGGTCATGAGATCGAGCCCTGCGTTCAGGCTCCATGCTCAGCAGGGAGTCTGCTTGGGCTTCTCTCTCTCCCTTTGCCCCTCCCCCAACTCGTGCTCTCTCTCTCTCTCTCTCTCTCTCTCTCAAATACATAAATCTTTAAATAAATGAATAAATAAGTTGCCTTGAATTACTGTTAGTAAAATTCTGAACTTTGAGGCAACTTAAAGGAAAGTGGGATATCTTATTAAAACTGGAAGAATGGAAATCCTCATTATGCAGTGGCAGAAAGTTGAACAAAAACAGCTACATTCGGTAACATGGAAACCAGAAAATGTGTCTAGTGAACTAAGTGATCTAGTTAAGATTTTCAAGAAAAATGTTGAAAGTATATATCTGCCAAAGAAGATAGACAAAGAAAAGGCTGTTAAAAAGGAGATGGGACTTGATGGTTTTGAAAGTTCTTAGCTTCAACATATCAAATTTTATTTTTGCTTTTCCCTTTTTTCTTTTTTTCTTAAGTAAGCTCCACACCCAACATGCAGCTCAAACTCACACCCCAAGATGAAGAGTCTCATGTTCCACCCACTGAGCCAGCCAGGTGCCCCCTTTTTCTTGATTAGTCTGGCCAATGATTTATATATATTGTTGATCTTTTTTTTAATAACTACTGGTTTTTCATTCTAGTTCATTAAGTTCTGCTTGTAACTTAATTAAAAGTCCTTCCTTTTTGTTTTTGTTTTGATCGGCTACTTTTCTAGCCTAGCAATAATAGCAGTAATAAATACTGCAATACTCTTAATTTTTCTCCTGATAACCGCTTCAGCTATATTCTGTTGGTACTTACACATCGGGATTTTATCATTTTCACGAAATTCTGCAGTTTTAATGTTTCCCCTGTGTTCCACAGGTTATTTATAGCAGGTATTTGAATTACAAAGCAAAAAGACATTTTGTTTTTTGACTTTATTAGTAATATCTAATTTTATTGTATTGTAGTTTGACATTGCTCTTTGTAACACTTCCACTCTATCAAAGTAATTAGAGCTTATAAGGCCTACTGTATGGCCGTAAAGATGAGAGGAAGCTGTATTCTCAGGATTCAGAGCTCACTACGTAATCTCTCTTTAATATCCTAACCACCTTTTCATCCACTTCATTGATCTCTTTGGGTTAAGAGAGGCATACTGGTATATCTCCTGTTATTAGTGTATTCCTATTTCTTCTTGCAGTTCCTATAGTTCTTGCTTTATAAAAGTTGCTGTTTTGGGGGATATAAAATATTAATAATTTATACTTCATTGTGAATTATAGCCTTTAACATCACAAAATATCCTTGTTTCTTTCAATGCCATTTTGACCTAATTTTGACTTTTTCAGATATCAACATTATGACTTCTTTTTTTTTTTTTAAAGATTTTATTTATTTGTTTGAGAGAGAGAGACAGAAAGAGAGCATGAGCAGGGGGTAAGGGCAGAGGGAGAGGGATAAGTAGACTCCCCGCTGAGCAGGGAGCCCGACAGAGGGCTTGATCCCAGGACCCCAAGATCATGACCTGAGCCGAAGGCAGATGCATAACCATCTGAGCCACCCAGGTGCCCCACAACATTATGACTTCTGCCTTTTCTTTCTTTGCATTTGCCTGCATAGCTTTACCCATTTTTTAAATCTTTCTATTATACACAGCTTAGAGTTGGATTTTGCATTGTTGGGGAGTATACCTTTTGGTATTTAGAAAGGTTTGCATTTATGTATGTATGTATGTATGTATCTTTCTATCTATTTATACGTAGGCTCCATTCCCAGAGTGGAACCCAACATGGGGCTTGAACTCACGACCCTGAGATCAAGACCTGAGCTGAGATCAAGAGTTGGACACTCGGGATGCCTGTGTGGCTCAGTCAATTAAACATCTGCCTTCAGCTTAGGTTATGATGCCAGGGTCCTGGGATCGAGTCCCACACTGGGGGCCTTGCTCAGCAGGGAGCCTGCTTCTTTCTCTGCCTTCCCCTCCCCCTGCTTGCTCAGTCTCTCTCTCTCTCTCTGACAAATAAATAAAATCTTTAAAAAAAAGAAAAAAGAGTCAGACGCTCAACCAACTGAGCCACCCAGGTGTTCCTCCATTATTTCTTCCGTACAACCTTTTTCCAATAACCTTGGTCCCTGTCCCTTCTTTGCATACTATTTCTTTACTAACAGGACCAATACTGAAGTTCAGCAGTAACCTCTTCTCCTTTCTTTTTCATTCTCAGGATAACAATGTGAAGCAACATCTTTTTACTCTGAGTTAATAACTATAAGGCAATCAGTAAGCTTATCCTGCTTGCCATATACTCTTCTGCTTTTCCTGGTATTTTTTATAGTTGTAATGTTCAGATACATAATACACTGCTCCTCTTATGTCCATCATTTAGTCTTAGTTTTACAAGGAAATATGTATGTGTATATAGATGCCTCTCTCTCAACTAGTCATTCTGGTTATCTAAACTTGTTCTCTAGTAGAGTCTACAGGAAGGCTCATGATAACAATATTTCCTGAGTTCTATCATATATATATTTTTGACAACTTTGTATCAGAAGATCAGTATTTAGCTGGATATAAAATTCTTGGCCCACATCTTATTTAAATATGTCATTCCAGGGGCGCCTGGCTGGCTCAGTCGGTTAAGCATCTGCCTTTGGCTCAGGCCATGATCCCAGGGTCCTGGGATCAAGCCCCATGTAGAGCTCCCTGCTCAGTGGGAGAGTCTGCTTCTCCCTCTCCCTCTGCTCCTCCCCCCACTCGTGCTCTCTCTCGCTCTACTCTCTCTCAAATCAAATCTTTAAAAAAAATATGTCATTCCATTATCTTCCGGCATAAAATATTTATATCAAAAATTTTTATATAAACCTGATTCTCTTTTCCTATAAGGGACTTCGTCTTTTTGCCTAGATGACCAAAGGATATTTCCTACAAAACTGTATTTATGCTGTTTGATCATAGCTTATATTACTTTCTTAAATTTTTTTATCATTTTGAAATATTAGGTTAGATATTTTATATGTTTTATGGGAATTATTTCTCTTCTGGAATAATATTATTTTCTCCATTATTCCCTTTTTAAAAAATTTTTTTTGAAGATTTTTTTTTATTTCTTTGAGTTAGAGCAAGAGAGAGAGCACAAGCAGGCTGAAGGGGCAGAGGGAGCCTGGGAGCCTGCTCAGGGCTCGATCCCAAGACCTGGAGCTCATGACCCAAGCCGAAGAGAGATGCTTAACTGACTGAGCCACTCAGGTGCCCCTTTTTTTTTAATAATAACTTACGTGGAATGTGATCGTGGTCCTATCTTGTTTTCTAGGGTTATTTCTTCCATTGTTTGCATGAAGTATTAATAAATATGGTTATGTATCTTCTCAAATATGCTTTGCTTGCTCCCTTCCCTCATTTTTAAATCTATTTCTTTCCTTGCCCAGCCCTAGTATGCTTGTCCTCTCAGTTTAGATTCTTTTTTTTTTTTTAAGATTCTATTTATTTATTTGACAGAGATAGCAAGAACAGGAACACAGCAGCGGGAGTGGGAGAGGGAGAGGAGGGAGCCCGATGTGGGACTCTATCTCAGGACCCTGGGATCATGATCTGAGCCGAAGGCAGATGCTTAATGAATGAGCCACCCAGGCGCCTCTCAGTTTAGATTCTAATGATAGCAGTTATATTCTCAGTGTTGGGACTCTGTCTGAGAAGAGGGATTTGGTTGATTAGTATCAGGAGTTCATCAGGCCCAGACCATTCAAGCACCATCCAAATTCATGTGGTCACTTTACATTCACATGTGAATTGAAACTAGTAAAGTGTCCTCTCATTTTCTGCTGCTGTTCTCAGACTGGTCCATGGACTTTCCACATGGAGTCAGAACTCCTCCATCTGAGAGAAGTACCTGTTGGCAATTTGTTTTCTGGAAGTCCCATTACCTTCCCTCTGCCTCAGTATGCACAGTTGCTGATCCTATACAGGTCTTGGTGCTGTCTATGGTTTGGCCTTATCCATTTGTGTTTTTAAGGTTTGTGGGAATAACTTGTTACTTCATTTTTTGGTAGATGTTGCCAATGAGTTTTTGATTTTGCTATCCTTATTGCCCTATTTTTACAGGGGAGTTTCAAAAACTACCCCACCACAGATGCCAACTTTTCCCTGAGTTCTCTGTCAGAGAGATGTCCCTTCTTCCCTATCCCAAACTACATTATTCTCTATGCAGCACCCTACTTTTTTTTCTTGATGACATTTGTTTTTCATTTGTTTATTGCCTTCTCTTTCCCATTTCAATGTAATCTCTGTTAGAGACTGTTTCACTCATTACTATAACCCTAGCATAGGGCACAGAGATTTCCATAACAAGCACATGAAAATACATATGAATGAATAAATAAATAGACAATGCCAATGCTACTAATCTATATCGGTAGAGAATAAAACTTTCTTTAACCTTTTATCATTCTTGCATATAATTCCATTAGTTAAAAAGATTTATTTTAGGGATGCCTGGGTGGCTCAGTCAGTTAAACGTCTGCCTTCAGCTCAGGTCATGATCCCAGGGTCCTGGAATCGAGTCCTGCATCGGGGTCCTTGCCCAGCGAGGAGCCTGCTTCTCCCTCTGCCTGCAGCTCCCCCTGTTTGCGCGCTCTCTCTGACAAATAAATAAATAAAATCTTTAAAAATAAAAGATTTATTTTAACTTGCATTAAAAGTTACCTTGATTAATTTTTAAATCTTTGAGATAATTCATATAATTTTTATGTTCAGAAAATTTATTAATCACATAAATAAAAATATCTAATCAACAAGTTGTTTTTTGGGGGGTGGAAGGGCAGAGGGAGAGAGAGAATCTTAAGCAGGCTCCATGCCCAGTGAGAAGCCTGACACAGGGCTCAATCTCACGCCCAAGATCATGACCTGAGCTGAAATCCAGTCACACACTTAACTGACTGAGACATCCAGGCACCCCTCTAAACAATGTTTTATAATAAAATAAGCAATAATTTATACTTTCTAATTTTCAGTATTTTATATTTCATACAAATTTACTAAAAGAATTCAAAGTAGATTCTAGCTAACCTTATGTTTTTCACGTTTTCTCCTTTTGGATTTTTTCTTCTCTCTTTCTTTCTTGTGTTTTTTCCTTGATTTTCTATAGGCTTTTTCATTTTTCTGTTTTTCATCCTCTTTTGCTTCCTGTTCTTGTGTTTCTTCGAGTCCTGCATCATCTATTTCACCATCTTCTAATTCGCCATCTTCTCTGTAGAAAACAATGACATTTTTATTTTCAAATGTTATTCAAAAATGAGTCTTATAAAAACATTTCCAAAAGAAAAAAAAGCACATGCCAAGAATTTTGGTTATATTAATTTAGATCAGGGATGGCAAACTTCTCCTGTAAAGGGCCAGGTAGTATATTTACAGGCCACATACAGTTTCTGTTGCAAATTCTTCTCCCTTTTTGGGGAACAACCCTTCAAAAATGTAAGAACCAGTCTTAGCAGCAAAAATTTGCCAACCTCTGATTTGGATTAAGATCACTGACGCTCACCAAATGAATGAATGTATGCATGAATGCAGTATTATTCCATGGTATTACAGCAGTTACCTTCTACTAAATCACCTTTTAAAAAAAAGTTAAACTAAAACATTTTAGTAAGTAAACATTCTTACTACAGGACGGAATTTTTAACTTAGTGTCACGTAAACAATGATAATTAGCTTTAAAATAAAAGTAATCTGTATTAATTCTCACCATCAAAGTAAACTTCAATAAGAAAACAGATTTCAATAGGCAGATAAAGAGCAAAACCTGAGCTACAGAAGAATCATAAATTAAACTTGAATCTGCAAAAAACATTCATAGTAAAATCATAAATTGAATTCCACTTTCCAAATACTAATATGTTTGCTATAATGGAGACCAAACTAGAAACAAACTTTTATATTGTTTATGACCTTTTTATACTTATAGAAGCCAAAATATTCATTAATAGTATTTTAAAGGCAAATTAAACAATGATCTATCTACATAAGAAGATAAGTATATAAAATAAGTTTGGCATTTAATCATGTTTCCATACAGTTTGAAAAAATGCAAGCTGCTATAAATAGTACGGAAAGACAAATGTCTGTATGACTGGAAGCAAATGAGAAGCAACCAAACTATGGTGTGTGCATTATAAAGATACTTTAAAGTTACTAGGGATATGTGATTTCTAAAATGCAAAACTGATCATGTCACTCTCCTGCTCAAAATCTTCAATGATGATGTGATGTCTCAAATTTGCTTCAGAACTATCCACTGGGGGAGGAAAGAAGTGGTATCAACAAGATTGGTCATGAGTTGGTAATTGCTCAAACTGTGGGATGTGTAGGTGTTTGAAGTCTTCCATAATAAAAGGACAGTACCAGTGATTCCTTTCTGACCTGAGGATGACATCAGAACTCTGTGATATTACCAAAAGGCCCTTTATAATTGAGTCCCTGCTTCCCAGCTACTTTCAATTTCTCACATCTCCAAGCTTTAAACATTGCCTTAAAAACTCTCATTGTCGGGGTGCCTGGGTGGCTCAGACAGTTAAGCGTCTGCCTTCGGCTCGGGTCATGGTGGTCCTGCGATGGAGCCCTGCACCAGGCTCCCTGCTGAGCAGGGAGCCTGCTTCTCCTTCTCCCTCTGCCTGCTGCTTCCCCTGCTTGTGCACTCTCTGTCAAAAATAAACAAAATCTTTAAAAAAAAAAAAACAAAAAAACTCTCATTGTCCGCTCCTCTCAACACCCACCCTCCACTTCCTTCACCTGGCTAATTCCATTTTGTTCTATTGGACCCAGGTCAGATGTCATTTCCTCTGAGATGCTTCCACTGACTACCCAGGTTTAGGTGAGATGCTTCACCCTAAGTACTCTCCTAATAATTCTCCTTTCTTTATCACTACACTCCATGCATTATGTTCAAATAACTTGAACATATTGGTTGGGGAAAGCAGGATGTGATTGCGTCTTTCATAGCTGTATCTCTAACCCCTAGGATGGTTCCCTACTGTTCACTGAATGAATGAATGTATAATATCCGTAACTCTTGCATTATAGAACAGGCACAATACCACCCAAAATTGGCAGTGAAGTCAGTGTTATTTTCCCCCAATTTCTATTATAAGATCAAAGAGGTATATATCCGTTTAGGCAGACTTAAAAATTTCTTGTGAGGCAGGGTTGGCATTCTGACTGTTTTAACAAAAACGTTCTGAACTTTTATAACACTACAAAACCTGAAGTTCCAAGAAAAATGAGTGCATATATTCACCAAAAGATAAGCACAAGAATGTTCTTTGCAACTTTAGTCACAATAGTAAAAAACTGTTAGCCCAAATCACCATCAACAGGTGAATAGATAAATTGTGCTTTATTTATATAATGAAATACTATAAAGCAAAAAAAATAGCCACTGCTACACACAATATGGATGAATCTTATAGACACAATTATGAGTAAAAGAAGCTAGACACAAGAGAGTATTATTTGATTCCATTTATATGTATTTCAAGAAGAGGCAAAACTAACCTATTGTGACAGAAGTCAAAATAGTGATTACCTCTTGGAGGGTTGTAACTGACAAAAAAGGAGTACTAAGGAATCTTCTGGGGTGTTGAAATATTTTGTATATTGATGTGTGATGATCATTATATATACACACTTATGTGTAAAAAATTCATCAAGTTGTACATTTACGAATTGTGTACTTTACTGCCTATACTTACACCATAACAAAATTTAAACAGCACCAAAAAAACCTACAGACATTCACCTTTTCTTTTACCACCCTTCTCTTCCAACTTGAGCTCCTTAAAGCATAAATCTTTTTATATCTTAAAATCACTAATTCATACTTAACATTTTGACTGGAGCTATTTAACCTAAGTATTCAAGTTAAAAATGCTGCCTATGAATTTATGTCCTACTTTACATAAATTCTTTAACTGTGAAATATGGGGTGCTTATATTTGTCATTAGACAAAAAGAAATGAAAGGTATTTTACTTTTCTTTCTTCTCCCTTAGACTATTTACCATTTTAGCATTCACACAACAAACTTAAACTTGTGAATTTAAATCTGTGTATGGTTACAAGAAATAGGATAGAAAAAGGAAATAAAGAACATTGATCCCCATTTCCATGAACTGTTTACAAATGCTTTACAAAAATCAGCTTTGGGCACAAATGGAAAGCATGTATGGCATGATGGAAGAGGAGACTTCCAGGGAGGACAGCTGGCTTCTAATGCCAGTTCTGTCACCAAAACAAAATAAAGCTATCTTGATTGAGCACCTACTAATGTATCAGATACTAATTTAGCTCTGTGAAAAATAAAAAACAGAAGAAATAATATAATAAGAGTGCTTAGCATTCTCTAGATTTTGAATTAGCTCAACACCATTATGAAAGCTGTTTTTTACTAAATCCAAAACACTTTTTTAAATTTAATAAATCAAAAAGAGAGGCTCTCAGTTCAATTCTATATGGATGACTTTTCATTAATGTAAAATAATAGAGTGATTATATCCTTTTGAGGAAGAGGCATATTCATGTTTATGGACATGTAAACAACTGTTCAATTGTTATTTTTAAAAGAATTTATCTCTTAGGCAAATCCATAGAGACAGAAAAAGAGATTAGGGATTGCCAGGTAGATCAGAGGGAGGAATGAGGATTGACTGTCAATGGTCATGGGGTTTTTCTTTTTGGAGTGATGAAAATGTTCTAAAAAAAAAAAAGTTCTAAAATTAGAGAGTGGTAATGATTGCACAACTCTGAATATCCTAAAAGCCAATGGTTGTATACGTTAAAAAGGTGAATTTTATTTCAATAAAGCTGTTATTTTAAAAAATAATTAAGTTTTAAAAGATTTTATCTCTAGGTTTAAATATCTACACTGCAGACAACTGGAGAAAATCATAACACACAGTGGTATTAATTAAAAACTCTGAAATGGCTCAATGCCCTCACTGTTCATGATATGTTCTTATTCTGAGGTATATTTCACTAAATCCTTATAAACTGATCTGCTTCATAAAGGACTCTACTTCTCCCCATTCTGATATTGTTGCTATTAAAACAACTTAACCTGAACCATTCAGTCTTACCTCCACAGGTAGTTTCTGCTTTTTCTTTATGCTTGCCTAAAGGCTCCTGTTACAAGCTATAGATCAGAAACTGAGTCTTCTGGAAGAAACATAAAAGCCTCAATAAAATACTATAAAAGTACTCCTGATAGATGATATTACAAAGATATTACTCATAAATACAAGCATCCTGGGAAAAGATGACATGATCACCAGAAAAAAGACATTTCTCAGAAGGTACCAAATGACTGTCAGGATGTCAAGGATGCCTTTACATTCCAGAAGCAGACAACTTTATAGAAATAGGCTGCTTATCCTAAGATCAACAGAACACAAATTTCTATACTTGAAACTATTGCTTGTAACACTTTTCTTTTCATGCTTTTGTTCTAATTCACCCTGTCATTTCTCCTTTACCATGGATAATGTAGAAGAACTGCTCTGAACTGAGGCACTGGCAACCTTACATGTCTCCACCTAGCTCACACAGGCAAGGCTCAACCGCAGGATGACCTGAGCCCCGGAAGAATGGTCCTCCAGAATACAGAAATATAGGCAGTCTTGGGAGGTGCTGCTAACAAAGCTATTTCTAACCCACCTCCATATATTCTCCTCATATGGCCACTGTTCCTCAGCCACAGGGTACCCTACCACTCATGTTGCCTGTGATTGTCTGGCCTCTTTGGTTTCAGTGTTACCCAGTGAGACAATAGACACAAGGAGCTAACACCATGGTGATCCTACATTTGTTGTCTATGTAAGTAATAAACAATTTTACTGGCTGAATTTGTCAGCATCCTTAACGGAAAACTTGCTTGGGTCTAGGCTTGTCCATGCCTACTCTGGTATCTTCCCTCAACCTATATAGCTTACGTATGATCTTCTTGATAAAGACCTGACATAACTCCCCACCTTATACCTCCCAAACTAGTTATTTCTTCTCAAGGAGAACACTGGTCATATCAGGGCCATGGCAGAGCTACCTGACATGAATTTTTATGATTTTATGTTTATCCCCAAACTGGACCTTGAACATTTACATGCTAGATGGCTCATCTTACTTGTTTCAGCAAAAGTTTCTCTTTACAAATTACCAGTGGTAAAATCTGACAGATATCTACAACTTTCAAAGTGTTTTTAATCTTCATTCTTTATCCAATACATTCTTACACCCTCTGGAATCTATTTGGTTTGCAGAAATTCAGCTTATCCCTTTTTGACTATCTACAGCTATAGCAAGTTTCACTCCTCGAGCCAACCTTAGAATTTGCGAAAGCCTCAACTCAAATACAAATTCCTTCAAGAATGAGACTTGGTACAAATTTATGGGCAAAATTATAAATTCTAATTAGCCTAACATCCTCCACAGTCTTATGGCAACCTTTCCAAATTTTGCTTAACTCTATGCAAGTTAGCTGTATCCCAGAGATAACTAAGAATCTCTTTCTCACTTTTTACAAGTAATTCTACTTCTGTTTTTACATACGTGACCCTTCTAATCTTTATTTCCGGAATCCACAACATGCTTATTCATATTTGCCTCATCAAAACCTAACTTGCATATACAGATAACAACTATATATAAAAATATAATAATTAGACAATATTAGATATTTCCTTCCCATGTCCTTCAGGAGACTATGCTTCTGTGGGAGTGTCTGAAGGGACACTGATCTCCCTGGAGAAAAAAACAGATACTCTCTTTATGCTAGAATCATTAGGACTCTATTTTCAACTATAGAGGTCACATAACTTGAAAATGTTATCCAAAATTTGTTATTAACATTGACTGAAAAGATAATACCGCAAAGCCCCAGAGTTACAACAAACTAAAGTCATTGATCTAAGTGATTGTGGATAATAGCATAAGCCCTAGATTTCTTGCTGGCAAGCCAAGAAAAAAATATGAATTACTGCTAATACTTCCTGCTGCCCATGAAGTAATATCACAGGGAAAGTTGGCCGATCTATATTCAAACAAAAGACAACTTGGCTATCAAAAGGGGACTCAGGGGGTGCCTGGGTGGGTCAGTCAGTTAAGCCTCTGCCTTTGGCTCAAGTTGTGATCCCAGGGTCCTTGCTTGTCTCTCTCCCTCTGCCCCTCCCTCCCGCTCATGCTCTCTCTCGCTCGCTTTCTCTCTCAAATAAATAAATAAAATCTTAAAAAAAAGTGGACTCAGAAGTAAGATTCCCTTACTTTGGTCATCACTCTAAAGTGCCTTCTAGTCTCTTCTTAGAATTTAGTCATGGCTATTCTTACTTGTCTCACAGTCTCCCAATGCCTGGTCTCCAGAGTCATATATGCTTCTGCACAGCTGTTATTTCATCAAATGGTACAAAAATTCATTTTGTAACAGAAAGAAAACAAAAGTACTCTGATATTCAGTCAGGCTAAATACTAAGGCCTTTGATCACGATTCCTACAAAGAT